CACACACACACACACACACACACACACACTTGTACACACACACTAAACATAGAAACGCACACACACATAAACATACAAACTCACACACATACTAACACAAATGAGCACATACATAGTACATACATACAAACACACACACAAACATACACACACAGACACACACACACACAGCCCTTGAAACCGAAATAATAACAGATTCTCAGAACTTACCTTTGGTCCTTCCTCCGCAAGTCAGCTTGGTGATGACCATGATATACACAACGGTATTGAACAGTAGCACCAGTCCCACAGGCAACAGGAACCCATAGTACAGCTGGTTACCTTGTAGCCAGCAACTAGACAACAACAACAAAATTACTTCGACTGTACACGGTATTTTGGTCCTTGATAACAAGCTGCAACAAGAGGGATTGAGACAATTATCTCAAAGTCTCCCCCTTTGTTTCAGACATTAAAAAGTATAACAACACAAAGTGTTGGAAGGAAATTTTTTTCTCTGTTTATGGTTAGGATAGTAAGATTGGAAATATGCGTCTTCTTAGGTGATTTTACGTGGTTTATGATTTTAGTGCACGAGTGGTTAAAGCAGCTATACCTTCGTGAAAGATAATTATCACCAACCAAGACAAAGGATAGAGACACGCAGTTTGGCCGACAAAGGGAAAAGTTTAATCATTTGGCGGGCTTTTCCAGAAGAGATACAGGCCTCTCAATGAATAAAGATTTCGAAGAAAAAAAAACTACAACAAAATGTCTTGTCTTACCCTAAACTTGACTTAGTAAAAGTAAGAAACTAGAAAAGAATACGGTGGCGGGGAGGGTGGTGGTGGGAAGAGAAGCGGAACCAGAGACGTCCGCTCACAAGGCCCCGAGCTGGGCGAATGTGAGCGGGGAGCCGGCTAGCCCGGGTCCACGTGGTTCCCGGCGCCAGGCCACAGAAGTTGGGGGCGGAGTTGGCGATTTCGCCCGGTAGTGCTAATTAACAAAAACAACTGCCAGACATTTTTCCACCATTGCTACTCAGTTCCCCTCCCAAGGGCTTCTGCGATACTGATCCGTTTGTAAATTCCAGACACCAGTCACATTCTACCTCTGAAAGATAAAGATTTATAATTAATCCCACTTATTTTTGTACTAATGTTTTGACTATGGTCGATTTAATACATTATAACTTACACACTGGTGCTCCTGTAGGTCTCCTTTCCATCAGGATATGTGCTGGGTACATCCACAGCAAGGGTGATGATGGCAACAATGAACGGAAGACCTGAAACAGCCCAAAAATGTACGTTGGCATAAGTACAAACAAACTGTACTACTTAAAGTATCATATTTTGACTACCACTTTTGATATTAATTATAGTTTTATTATACTTCAAGTATTGAACGCATAGAATGTATGGTTGCACACATTGTACACTTTTTTTATTTCAACAGAACACATCTTTGCTTAATATAAAAAATTACCTGGCATGTATCATGTAATTCTCTTTGTTTTGCTACATTATTTTTAACAAGTTCCGTAGAAGTTTGCTACAGAAGAAAATATTTATAAGTTATTTGGTTACCCAAGGAATGAGTACGTGTGTAAAGAATTCAAGTGTGAGTCGTTGATAAGTATATCCATTCACGCTTTAGTTAATCATGACCATTTTGCTAAATTACATAGACCATTGCAAGTTAAAGGTATACAGGATATACATTGCAAGTATTTGTAAATGAGCAGTTATTTAAAATCACCACAATAGAAATGTATTACCTATACTACATGAGATCATTAGTTGGAATTCTATGTTTGAATTTATATGGATTATGTAAACATGGATGGGTTGACAATTATAATTCTGTAATAAGATAATGTGATTCCCTTTCTTGTATCACAAGAAGTTGTGATATTTCACTCTATGGTTTAGAGCATAAACGGTAATTGAAACTTCAGGAATCAGAACGATATGTTGACATCATGTGTTCAACAGAGCAATCTGTTAAGAGAATAAGACATTTAGTTGTCTATGGCCTATTGGTTAGTTAGCTGTCTTTCAAAGATGCTTATAACAGAATTGATTTACTTACCCCATGCACAGATAGCCGCCTTAAGGAGAAATCTAGAAACATGTGCCCCCAAGACTTTCACGAAGGCTAGGTACATGTTGAAGGCTTCAACAGCCATCCACATAAACACGGCCAATAGGAAGTAGTGTAGTAAAAAGGCCACGGTAGTGCAGCCAACCGGGGAGTTTGTAGCATCGATGCCTGCCAGGAAGATAATCAGAGTTGCCAACAAGGCGATGCACAGATTCACAAGGATGTGCTGTGGCCTTGTCTGACGAAGTTGCCTGCAGAAAGCACACAATCAGTTATCTTGAAAGTTTATCGGTGTTGATGGTTTTTACTTTGCCTTTAGTTCAAACTGTAATTTCCAACACAAAGAATTGGACTTCATGTATTGGACAACTTTTCTACCGTACAACTCACAGTTCACCACTTTCATGACGTCGCGTTATGCAGATAATACAAGTGACTCTGCTAGCAGCGTGCATGATGTAAGAGGCCATCTACATACGGGGACCCCAACCTTCCCTGAACAAAGGCGGGGGGCGACACAGACTTTCTGCAACTTCCGATCCATTGCTCACGTGTGTCGTCTGCATAACGTGACGTCACGAAAGATGTAGACTGCTCATTCCTTGACAAAGACTGCAGTTGTATTTTGCAGTTGTACAGTCAAAAATGTTGGGTAAGTTCAATTCTTTGTGTTGGAAATTACAGTTTAAACTTACGGCATTAACATTTAAGCTCTGGCGCATGGCCTGAAGATTGTTGGTAAGCGCTTTTCTGTGTATAGTTTTAGTGTCGTATCTGCTCATAATTTCATTTACATTCACATAAAAAATGTAGACTCAAAACTCCCACTAGAAAAGGTTTGGCAAAATGTGCATTTGAATGCTTACTACAACGGATACCAGCTGCAGTTTTATTACAAGAGGCTACATACGGGCATTCCTCTAATTAAAAAGGTGTTACTATACTACAAAAAAAGCAAAGCTTTTTCAGTACAATTGCTTTCAGTATACCATCAATCAATCTACCCTAATATCATAATACCATACCCTAATATCCAAATGTGCCAGCAAAGATATCTATGTTTGCATGACCGTACTGAGAGACTTAAGTCTAGCAAACTTACTTGAACACCAGGTAGCTGATGAGTGTGAAGGCGAGGCCTGTTGTGGACAAAGCAATCCCAACTTTACTAATTACATCCAGTGCAAAGCTGTGCCACGGTCCGTATATATCCTAAAGAAAAAAGAAATATTTCCTTAGCAAACGGCAGATATATTTAGGAAGTCACTTTGTCGCTTGTGATGTTTTGAAATATCAACAAATAATAAATATTATCTACAAGGATGTTAAATGATCTAAGATGTGTAATGCTTACATTTAAAATGCATAGAGATAATGATGGATTGTTATGAGTAACGTACGATATAATAATGTGTAAGGACTGAAATGTGATGATGTGAAGTCAAATAATATAAACTGTGTAAACGATTTTGCAATAACAATTTTAAGGGGATACTCAGTAAAATAAGAAATCTTATATAAGGCCACAGCAAGTAAATTTTATGGATGACATCCTCCGCAGATTCCAAATCTAATGCGAGCGGGCGAAAAAAACAAGGCGGGCTGAAAAAAACAAGGTTTGTACAATTCACAATTTTGACTTAATCATTGTACAAATGGTTTTGATTCAGTAGGAACATCACATATACACAACCAGCATCACTTATCATTGCATCAAAGTAAGAAACATAACAATAAACCAGAGCCTTTTCATGTCTCCTGTCTTCATAGTTATCTGCCATCCACCTTCCGGAATGGCAACAGACATCTTTGCCCATTTCCGGCATGTTTACCACTGTCAGAAGGCAACAAAATTTCTTGATTTTTTTTTCCAAAATCAGACAAAAATCAATGCGCGCGCAGATGTCATCCATAAAAATTACTTGCTGTGGCCTAAATACATATCTCAACAACATGACCTTTTTGCATACTTCTAAGTGTATCTATTTGGCAGTAAATGGATGATGCATTTCTGATGTACCATCAATACAGCGAAATTAGTGAGATGGCTGCAATTGCACACAATCCTTTTGTTGTCAATTTTAACAAAGGCGCATCCCTCCGTTGACCAGTCTCCTCTGCCCTCTGCAGCTGTGAAATCCCAGAAGACACACCTGATGTTGTTTACAGTGCTGTTTGTGCTGTTCTGAACCTGTCAAGATATAAAAAAACGGTAGATACAAAACAGTAGTAGAACCAGAAATCTTTGGGTGTAGAAGGAGCATCAAATGTAGAGCTTCTACGCAATATGATTATAATAGTTTGTACTTTTTGTTTACATGCCTTAAACGTGAGATAAAACAAAGGTATGGTAAACAGTATTTTAAAACAATTAGTCTAATGGTGTCAATATTACTTTTTTTACATTTTATTCATGTTTTTTTTTCATTTGTACTCTCTCCGTTTTGTCCTTTCGTATTTAGAAAAATCCAATCCAAAAAAAAAAAACAAATCCATAAAGTCATTTTCACTAAAAGTATTAACCCTTTGACTGCAATCTTAACAAAAAGTTTTAAAAAGGAGGAAGAATAGAATACTTACGATGGGAAGGTATCTTGTCACTACAG